TGTTAGGAAATGCCAAGGTTTCTCATCAAATGTGCATCATGAACCAACTATCACGTCACCCACTTTGAACCATCACAACTTGATCAATAATGACCCAATGATGATGAAATTTATATGGTTGGAAAGGTTGGAGATAGACCTACAACTTTCATGTTATTGGCAACTTGAGACAAACCCTGGATCAATGAGAAATATTGAGTGGAATTTGTGTCCTCAAAACTGTCCAAAGTAACTTAGAAAAATTCTAAGCTATTGAACCTTTGACATAATTGAAACCTCATCTTTGAATCCACATAGCTTAAGGAGTTTTGATCCAATGGAGATGATCTAGTAATGGATAGAAATCTTGAAGAATGATCTTCAACTTTAATATTCAAGGGAAATTGATTTGAGGTCAAGAACTTGGTGAAAAGTGTCTTGGAAAGTAACCCCAAAAATCTGCCTAAAACTTGTCCAATCTTGACAACTTTGAAACCCTAATTTGGAGAGACCATAACTTGAGTTCTACACATCCAATGGAGATGATCTAGTATTCAAAAGAAAGCTTAGAGGATGCTCTACAACTTTCATGTTCAAGGAAAATTCATTTGAAGCCTGCATCATTATGTAAGATGGGTTTGAAAATATGCACTTCAAGCTGAATTTCCATACTTAGAGAAATTTTTAAGTGTTGGAATGTCAAAACCTCCATTTTCTCCACTTTAACTCATCATATCTCTCAAAATATGAATCTTCTGGACTTGTTTTCTTTTATAAACTTGTATTTCATGATGTCCTATTTAATTTGATAACAAGTTTTCTCTCATTGGATCAAGGATGAGAAAGTTATGGAAATTGCAAAATGGCTAGAATTAGGGTTTTCTACACTTAGAAAATATTTCAATCAAACTCTAATCCAATCAAACTCTTGATTTTATGTTTCCCCTTGACTTTTCTTGTTCCAAACACATGAAAACACTTAAAAACATATAGCATACCCTTGGTTGACCTTGAGATCCAAGACTTTGACCCCATTGAACCATAATTGACTTTTGTTGACCAGATGAAACCCTGGCCTCTTTTCCATTGATTGAAGCTTTTGTGATGGCTTGTGATGAAACATAATCCATGTAGAGCACCCCCAAGATGTATATTGAGCTTTAGAATCATGTCTTTCCCAAAGAACTATCCACATATGCCTCTTGAATCAAAACCCTAATCCAGTTGCCCACAAGATATGAGGAGGTGATCAGTGCTTGAATCCTTGATTCACATGGTTGTGAGATATGTATTGATGATGAGAGAAACTTATGACTTGAAAATTCCATAAGGTTGTGAATGAACCCTTGCTTGAGCTTTGAAGATGAAGCTCTTCTCTTGGGTGTTGAACCAAATACTTTAATCCCCTGTCTAGAACCAATGATATGCACAAATGTTGATGCAAAAAAGATATGAAACATAAGCCATGATATAAGAAAAAGGATGGGAAAATTTTGGGGTGCTACACATATAACTCCTTAGTAGAAGAATTTACTATAACATTCCATGCATCCATTATTTTTTTTCCACTATCACACCCACCTTCACCATTTTTTCATTTTCCATCGTTATCTGCTTCGTCTCTACCGCAGGTTTAACCCGACTTCTCACATTCTTTGTTATGTGATACCTTCAAAATAATGCATACGAAATAGGAAATACCTTTGGAACCGTATTCATCAAAGCGGTATCGCGGTCCGTAACAATTACTTTCAAAATCTCTTATTGTTCCTTCAACATTGCCCGTCACACCTGTAAAGCCCAAGTAACATTCTCCTTTTTTTTCCTATCTAGAAATGCAAACCCGACATAATAGGTCTTCTCAGTAGAGATGACACCAACCATCTTCATTAGTGGAAGCTTGTACTTATTAGTCTTATACGTTGAATCGGTTATTATGAGCACGGTAGAAAACATGGAACGAGGATGAGTCCAAAATATACCTCTAACGGTTACTCCATCCTCACACGTTTGGTATCGAGAAACACAATTGTTACCATCTAAAAGTTTCAATATTTGTTGATTTTCACTTCTATCCCCCTTTAGCGCCTTGTTATTTTGGTACCAAATATTGTACACTTGCTTGATATTTGAGATATTTTTGAGTCTTTTACGTTTCAAAGTTGCAAGTATGTTTTTTGGTTGAACCAAATTCATGTCGAAAACATATTCCTTCTCTTCCGGCATTAGACGACACACAATTGGATATCCGTCTAACTTTTCACACAAGTCAGGATTATGTAAACCACATATGACATTAAATCTCCATTTCTTATTTGCCAACATATAACTACACAACTTAAAGAGACACTCACATTTTCTTGAACCGGTTTCATCTCGTTTAAAATTCCAGATAGGATGTATATATTTCCCACTTCTTTCACATGTCATTGTCATAAATGAACCTCTTCTATCTGAACCATTATCAAACCTTCTAATTATTACACCAAATCCTAGTTTAAAGGCCTTCGTACGAATCTATTGAAGCATGTGATCACAAAATTCAAACTCTTGCTTATTTTTAAATTAGTTGTCAACATCTACCTCCTTCATAACAACAACATTGGTATCCAGAGACACAACATATTTGGGAAAACATCAGAGTGCACCATGTCTAATGAAAAGAGTTACAATAAAAAGTTAAAGAATACTAATACTATAAATAGAGTTGAAAAAATGAGAATAAACAGCCTACGAAGATGCATCTCTGGAAAAGTTCTTACACAATCCAGAGATGCATCGTCGGATTAAACAAACATTTTTCAGACTAAAAACAAGTTTAATGTGAACAATTAGACTTGAAATAAATGATCTTTACCTAAGATTCTAACTTCTTTTGCTCATTTCGATGTGATGAAACACAAAAAGGAATATTTAGAGTGAAAATATTGATTGAGAATGAAAGGGTTTTTGGAAAGGGTTTAGAGTAGTAAATAAGTATGGCTTTGTGATTATGCAGGTGAGTGTTTTATCAACTTATTTTAGAGATGCATCTCTGAAAATATCTAACATGTAAAGGTGACAAAAATTTCAAAATCCCGCCTCAAATCTTTGAAGATGCATCTCCAGAATATCCATTAAACTGAACAAATATCAATATATTTGTTGAAAATACCTGAAGATACATCTATAAAATAAAATTTTATTTTATTCTAGAATAACACTAATTTGATACGTCATAAAATAGTACAAGATACGTTCGAAAATGTATCTCTAAAATTTGAAAAACATTTTCAATTTTTCATAAATATTATAAAAGTTTTCCTAAATTTATATATCAGCTACAACTCAAGAGGCTTGGGTAAATCTATGATATTTTGTTAGTTTTCCTATAAAAAAAAACACTAAGATATTTTAGTGTTTAACTCAAACATTTGTCTTATTTTATTTTTAAAGAAAGATATAATTTACTACTTTTATATTTTCTTTTGACTCAACTACTACTTTTTATGTTTCTCTACACAGTTTTTTGAAGTTTCTTTAAAATGTTTTTCTATAAAAAATATAAAATACATTAATTATTTTTTAAAAATTATTATAAATACTCTTATTTTAGAAATACATTTTCAAAAATATCTAACGTGTAAAAGTGATAAAATTTTCAAAATTCCATCTCAAAATTTTGAAGATGTATATTCGAAATATCCACCAGACTGTTCAAATATCAATATATTTGTTGAAAATAACCAAAAATACATCTTTATAATAAAATTTTATTTTACTCTAAAATAATACTCATTTAGTACGTCATAAAGTAGTGTATGATACATATGAAATTATATCTCCAAAATTTAAATAACATTTTCAATTTTTCAGAAGGTATTTTTTTATTTTTTTATGATAAGATACAAAATTCCAAAATTTATATATTAGCGAGACTGAGCAAATGTATGATATTTTGTTAGTTTCCCTATAAAAAAACTTAAGATATTTTAGTGGTTAACTCAAACATTTGTCTTATTTTATTTTTAAAGAAAGATATAATTTACTACTTTTATCTTTTCTTTTAACTCAACTACTACTTTAAAGTTTAAATATAAACTCTGTTGAAGTTTTCTAGAAATATTTTTTATAAAACATTTTAAAATACATTAATTAATTTTTTTTAAATTATCATAAAAACTCTTACTCAAATATTAATTACTTCCTCCGTTTTTTATTATAAGTCGTTTTTGACTTTTCACACATATTAAGAAATATAATAATTATGGTATGAAAAAGAGAAATTACGAATAGTTTTATAAAATTGTCCTTCATTAATCATATTGAAAATACATATTTACATAATTGAGAGAACAATAAATATTTAAAAATATAATAGGAAAAATAACATTAATGGTTTATTGGTATTATAAAACGAATTATATTGTGGTACAAAATATTTTTCCAAAACGACTTATAATAAAAAAACGGAGTAGTATCTTTTTCTAAAAATAACAAATTAATAAAAATATATAAATAGTCAACAAATTTAATATTATAACTTTAATTTTTTCAATAATTTTGTTATTTTCTTAAAGAATTGTAGACTAATGCATTAAAGTAAGTTCAATTATTATTGGTAGTACATAATATAATAGTTAGGAATTGAATAGACAAAAAGCCAACTGTGCTTGTATCTGTCTCATTCATTCTCGCACACTCACATAGATGTATCAATCTAAGTAGGCACATCAAGTTGCATAGTAAAAAGGGCAAATTAGTAAAACACAAACAAACTCAAAACTAGAACAAAACCAGGAATCACCATTATCAATTATCAATATCAACGACGCACGCAAAACACACCCAAGCAAATTCAACGATCCCTAATTAACCAGATTTTTTCTTTTTTTCAGTCTCACACTTTTCTCTTCTTTTTCCTTTTCCCTCTTTCTTTCTATCATCATCGTCATCATTTTTTTTCTAATTATCCAGATTCGGATTCATTCTAATTTTCCGTCTGAAATTTTCTGAATAACGACGACAACAATAAAATAATTATGAATTTCATTCACCGACTCAATTTCATTGACTTTCCCCATGAATCTTACCCTGATTATGAAGATTTCTACTTTCTCCCTCTCTTCTCTCTCTTCTTCCCTTCCATTCGCTTCCTTCTCGACAGATTCATTTTCGAGGTATTCGCCTTTTTTTCCGAATTTTTTAATCCCTAATTATCGATTTTTATTATCATGAATTCATTTAGGTATATTAAAATATTTATGATAGTTTCTGACACGTTGTTTTCTTTTTATTCACCTGATTCTGAGTTAGCGTGCTTGTGAATTTTCTGTAAAATGAGAGAGTGTTGTACGAAATTGAGGTGAATTTATTTAAAAAAAAATTTTTTTTTTTGAAAAGTTTTGGGGCATTTATGATACCTTTTTCTATCATTTAAAGGGTTGTTATTATAGCAGTATCACTTTCTTATGTATCTATCTATCTATGTATGTATACACATTTGAGTACTATGGAACCTCTTTAATGTCACTGTACCTACCTTCTGCATTTACACACTATTGCCTCTCATTTATTTTTTATAATGTACCAAGTATTTACTATTTTGTAGCTTCAAATTTTAAATGCAATGGAGTTTCTCGGAGAGCTTCATTTTTTTTCTTCATTATGCCAAAATTACCCTTTGTTGGAGTATTGTCATTTTTTTAATGGGTTTCTTTAGAGTTTTTTGTTGGGTATGTGTGGTTGATAGATATGAAATGAATGAAATTTTTGCAGAAATTGGCGAGAAGATTGATTTTTGGAAAGGGGAACAAAATGTTGGATTATCAGACAGATGATAAAAGAAAGAGGATTAATAAATTTAAGGAATCGGCGTGGAAATGTATTTATTATCTCTCAGCTGAGATTCTTGCTCTTTATGTAACTTATGATGAGCCGTGGTTTACCAATACTAGATATTTTTGGGTTGGGCCTGGGAATCAGGTTTGGCCAGATCAAAAGATTAAGTAAGCTTGTTTCTTTTACATGTCTAACTAATGTGGTGATTCAGCTGCAATGCTGATCTATAATTTGTTATCGTATTTCCTTTATATGAATTTTGTGTTAAAGTTAAGCTTGTTGATAGAGTAGTGTGATTCTAACATTTCAGGTTGAAATTGAAGGTGGTCTATATGTATACTGCTGGATTTTATTCATACTCCATTTTTGCTTTAATATTTTGGGAAACAAGGCGTTCTGACTTTGGGGTTTCCATGAGTCATCACGTGGCTACTTTCATGCTCATTGTGTTGTCTTACATTTGTAGGTATGTTTTTCATTGACTTCAGTATGTCTTGTTGTCATTCAAGTTTTTCTGTGAAATTTGTTTTTTTTTTTTGGCAATAGTCATTTGTAATTGTTTGATTTCTCTGGATTTACTTCATTTCAAGCTCCTTATCAAAAGAGTTGAATGTGCCAATTGTCTTACGTGTTTCAGTTGATTAATATGATTTTTCACATTGACCTCATAGGTTATGAGTTATGTACTACAATGAATGTTATCAACTTACTGGGTCTTAATGGAAAACAAAAGGTCAAAGTAATTGACAATTTAAAAAAAAAAAAAACTGGCCAACAGAGACACACACACATACACTTGAGAGAGCCTGAGAGAACTCAGTATCTGCTAGAGTAGTTCTACTTCTATTTGATTTGAATATATTTTGCTTTGATAGTTTTCTATTACAGAATTCTGTTTCTTTTCTATGTTTAATACATTCAGGTTTGCTCGTGTTGGATCAGTTGTTTTAGCAATTCATGATGCTAGTGATGTGTTTCTTGAGATAGGGAAAATGTCCAAATACAGTGGTGCTGAAGCAACGGCTAGCACTGCATTTATTCTTTTTGTTTTATCTTGGGTCATATTGCGCCTCATTTACTACCCATTCTGGATTCTTTGGAGTACAAGGTTAGTATTAGCTCATTTCTCAATTTACATATTTTTCCTTCTTCTGCTTTCTATTATATTTTATGGTCCTCACCTAGTTATTATGTAGATTTTTCTCTTAGTCAATATATGTACTCCCTACATATACTTAATGAAAGTGAAAAAGATTACTGTTATACATTCTGAAAGGATGAGGACCCCTGTTTCTCTTCAGATTCAAGTTCCCATCTTTTGAAAAGATTAAAATATTGGTTATCTTTTACTGTATATTAGTGTCTTTATCACAAATCAAGTGCTCAGAGAACCTTATTACTATTAGTGGTTTATATCATGTATCGGGGTATGACAATGGTTCAGTTCTGGTAGTTTTGTGGAGCTGTTACAATATTCATCAATGTCAAATTATGCATGCTTTATTATGAACAAGAATAGATACTTGGTGAAAACTCAAAGTTGCTAATTGTAGATACCGGAAAATAGCAGATTGTTACAATTCCACTATGCAATAGTGTTATAGTGTCACTATATTACAATATTTTATGCTAACTAGCGTATCGTGGAACAATAGCAGTTTGTCCAAACATCGCTACGCTATAGCCTCTATTTATCGACGTTGTATAAACTTTAACCAATAGTGCAGTAACTAGTAAGTACCAGAAAGAAAATAGTTTATATTTTAGGAAAACTTTGAAGCCGTTTTATTGGTATGGTTAGTTTCACTATAGGGTTTTATCAATTCTTGACATTCTCCTCGTGGCCTTGTTTCACTTAAGAAGTATTGTTGTATACCCTTGATTTGTATGACATATGTACGTCCCATGGAGATTCTCATTTGAACTATTTAAGAGTATGGAAAAATTTACTGGGGTAATGTCAATATACTACACGAGAATGGATTCTCTCATGTGAGATTTTCACTTAATTAGCTCATGGTGAAAATATTTGCCTATCTCTCCCGAAATATTCATAAACTTTTGTAGAGGCTTACCTAGTTAATGTTTGAGAAGAGATAAATGCATAACTTTCTCATGATAAGTTTTGTTACCTGTGTCATACATAAAAAGTTAAAGAAACAGAGTCGCATGTGCCTGCATCATTGGACTTACATCTGCATCAGTGCATTATTATTTTTATATTTCTTTCCTGCCACTGCTAGAGTTGTCTCCAGAATTTCAAATTTTGAGTGTAAAGGGCCTCAGGATTTATTGATAGGGACAAAATAGCCTGCTCAACTGGTTTGATTGGTTGATCCCATGGTTCTAATGACGTGTTTTCTATATAACATATTTGCTTTTAAGCCAATTGTTATGTACTAAGCCCTTTTAGGCTTATTAGAATCCTTCTTATTCTAAAAAAAACATGACAATCAATCCATTCATGCTCTCCTTTTTATAATGTCCATAATTAATCGTTCTTGTTAATCGTTACAAAACATGTTCAGGTTTGACCCGTGAAAAATCAAGGATAAACGCATACAGGACTGTGGTTACTAGTTTTCAATATTTTGCTTTGATGTATCGAATGCTTGTCAATCAATCCATTCATGCTCTCATTTTTTATACTGTCCATTGTTAATTGTTCTTGTTAATCATTACAAGACATTTTCATGTTTGACCTGTGAAAAGTCAAGGGTAAAGGCATATAGGATTGTGGTTAATAGTTTCCAATGTTTTACTTACTTTGACATAGAAGTCATCTGAAATTATATGGAAACTTCCGTCGAGGTAATGTTAGATGTCTTGTCTGAGCAGAATTATAAAATAAAATTTGTCCTCCCAGGAATGTTTCTAGATAAATCCTGAATCTTATTTTAAGCACAATAAAAAACCTGTTTTTGTCGGTCACAATTTTAACAATTCAATATAAGTAGTAATACTAGACCTGTTCTTTGTTCATATATGATATGATATATCATTGTCGGTTCAAGTGTTTTACTCTCTTCTCTTTTTTTCCAGCTATGAAGTTCTGCTCACCTTGGATAAGGAAAAGCACCAAGTGGATGGTCCAATATATTATTATATGTTCAATACTCTTCTATTCTGCTTGCTGGTTCTGCATATTTATTGGTGGGTGTTAATATATCGAATGCTTGTTAAACAAATCCAAGCAAGAGGAAAACTTAGTGAAGATGTTCGATCTGGTAAGTTGAATTTGTGCCTGATTTCTTAATCAAACTTTTGATGCAGTGAGGAAACTTCTGAAATTATATACTGTATGCACAGTATTTTACTCCATCCTTCCCTAATTATAAGATCCACTTTCTGTACGGGGATACTGAAGTTACAAATTGACAAGAGAATATGATGTTATGGCTTTTTTTTTGTGACATAATCCCTTTGATGTGTTTATCTAAAGTCAGAAATTGATTGTGTTTTTTTATTCAATCAATAAGAAGTTGTTGCAGTTGCTATATTGGCTTTAGTTTGTAAATATTTTAAACTAAGAAGCTATTTGTGCATTGCTTAACACAACTTCTCTAACTGTTTATGTGATCATAAACTGCTATATTCTTTTTATGCAGATTCAGAAGATGAACACGAAGATTGAGTAGGAAAGCAAAATCATTATTTAAACACAAGGCAAAGGTGAATTTAATAAAGTGGCAAATTGTTTTTCACCCCAGACATAATGAATATTTTCTCTATATTCATATGTTAGCACAGAAGTTGCTTGAAATCAATTATGTTTATTGGCCTTTTTCATGATCCTTAAGAGAAATGCTGTTTGGTTTTATTTCTTGCAGATGACTTGGTTAGCTCCAAAAGTTTTATGTGCCTTTGCCCACAATGTTAAATCATTTTCAAATGTTGATTCAAATTGGAGGGAATTGTATTTATACCGGTTCGAGAGTAGACTATGGAGCTGATTTAAAGAGAAGCAGATTGAGAGAATTTTCGATCTTCTAAATTATTGGGCTATGCAGCACAACCAGAAGTTCAGTTCTGCTGCATGCCATTTTGCTATAATGGATTTGTCCCTCAATATTCATTCAAAATTTACAGTTAGAAGTTTGAAGGACTTGACCATTAATGTATACTATTTCTTGAACTAATTTTATCCTCAGGCTTCCATATATTTGGAAAAGCACTTAATTTGCACAAATTTCAGGTGTCTTTTAAAACTTAATGTTGATTTTAGGATTTCATTCTAATTTATTAAAAAAAAGAAAAGAAATATCTGTCTATTATTTTATAACATATGTTAACACTTTATCCTTTACATAATATTCAAATGTTGCATTTGTATCTGTTTCCACAATCACTAATTGTAAACCGTCTACACAGGAGTACAACAGACATAGTTCATCTCCCGTACATCCACCTGTCATTGTTTATCGTCAGTGCAATCACTAGTCACCATCCGTAAATGTTTTCAGCCACCATCGACAATACGTATTACACAATCTAATTTTATTTGGTGCGTTATTTCTTTCATGCATTTATTTGTGGTCCGGTGCTTTATTTCTTTCATGCACCTCTGTGGTCCGGTTTTATGCATCTTTTTGTTCTACTACTCCGACCTGATTTTTATAAGTAAATTTTTATAAGTAAAAAAAAAACAAATTTCACATTTGTTAAGAAATATAGTTAAATGCATTTAATTTTTTTTGATTTTATGTGAGAGGGATAACACAACTACAAGTAAACTCTCAATTAAATAAAAAATTATAAGACTTTCTTATAAATAAGGCCGAAGGGAGTAAGGTGTTTGTTGATATTTGAGAGTGTTTGAATATAAAAAGTCAAACTTGTTAAATGTGTTTAGGATCAATCACAAGGTGTTCTAGAAACTTAAAACGCCTGGAAAGATTGGGGACGGTCGGATTAGCATTGGATGACATCGTCATCACTATGACACTAGATCAATGATGTCTTTTTTTTTTGTTGTTGCCATAATCTACATTCTAGGATCACAAGACTTGGGATGGACATGCCTTAGAGGGAGGGAGACTTATCAAGGAAATCACGAAATGAGTAATTTTTTTGAAATTTGTCCTCTACTTGGACAATTGTCACGTATCAAAGGTTTTACGTCTTTGAAGTCTTAAAATTTTGTTATGAAAAGATAAATAAGTGGCTACATCAAGGTACACACATTATAATTTTAAAATACAACTCACTTTTTACGGTCACTTTTGAGCATAGAAGTGTTCGACGCTGTATTAAAGTTTGAAGATATCAACGATACACCAAAGTTCTCCAATCTTTGCGAGATCATTGACTATGTATGTGGGAAACACTCATCAATGTTTCCACCACATCAAGTAATAATATAATGGTGAATTGAGAAAAAGAGCCGTATCGGTCTCCATCTGTCCCCATTAATCTATGGCTAGTGAGATATTCTTAGTCAACCATGACCTTAACGACAGGCTCACATTCTCCTCCTTGTGTCAGGGAGCATCAGTCCCACCATCATTAACGTTTGCGAATTTTCCATATTATCCCTTTCACCTCAAAAATGTTCTACCTTCGTGATCTCAATGCTAAACTAAGAAATTCTAATGCCTACAAACCCCTAAGGATAATAGCACACCACCCACGTTGGTCCCTCGAGACCCCGTAATCAACAATGAAATAATGAAATAAGCATGTTGTTGAGGGGCTTATTGATGGTTGTGCCGAGGCAATGAACGAGTTATGAATTGTCGATTGAACGACTATGGGGAATTAATACGATCAATCCAGGCCACTGAGCACTGTAACGCCCCGATTTCGATTATTTCATTTTATTGAGTGTTTTAATTGATTTGAGTAATAATTGTTTTAATTGTGAATTTGATGTGTTAATATAGTATGTTTTAATATTTTACCGTTTCGGAGAGTTTCGGGTAAAATTTAGATTGGAGGGTATATTGGTCTTTTGATAGAAATAGAATTGAGGGGAAAAGTATAAGAGGAGTTGGAGAGAAAATAGAAAGAAAAAAATAGAGAGAGTTAGAGAGAAAGAAAAGAGAAAGAACAAGAGAAGAGAAGAGAAAGAGGAGGAAGAGAAGCAAAAACCTAGAATCATCAAGAATCAACATCCAAGCTTTCGATTAGTCGGGTAAGGGTGTGGAACTTTATTATTCTATCCATGTGTATGATCATGTATATGTTGTGTGGATTGTTTGGTAGCTTTTCTACACTTTCCATTTCTAGGTTGAAGTTGGTTTAATCGGTAGAAATCATTGTTTAACGGTTAGAATTGAGAATAACCTTTGTAGCTTAGTCGAGATATGTTAGACTAAGAGTATTGAAACTAGTTTGGTGAGAATCGGGTGATATTTCGAGTTTCACCATTTTCGATTAAATTGAGGTTAAGATCTTGAGTGGAAATCGAATGTAGCGAAAGTTGAGTTTTATGACCCTAATATATCCGTATATGATTAGTAAGGATAGATAGGTATTTAATCGGGTGAAAACTATTTAATCGGTCGGGTTTTTGAGGGTTTTAAGCTCAAACCCGTAGCTGTTTTTCTGAGCTTTTCAGGTGTTAATTGGTTAACCATATACGTTAACCGATTAATATAGAGTTAGGGGCCAAAAAACTGAGTTTTTGGCCTAAAAACTGAGTTTTTGGAGTGGTTAATCGGTTAACCATATGCGTTAACCGATTAACACTGTAAGTGTGAGAAAATAATTTATTTCAAAACTTTGAAAATTCATAACTTTTTCACCGTTTATCGGATTTTGACGTTCTTTATATCAAACTGAAGCTAATAATATGTTCTACAACTTGGTGAAAAGAAATATTATTTTTATCCAACTTTTAGCCGATTTTACCGATTAATTGAAATTAATGATTTTGAGTGAGAAGAGCTTATATTAGCGAGAGCGTCCGATTGTGATCAGTCTCGTCTCGTATGGATAAATGGTGTGTTATTAATTGTTATGCTGTGGGTAGCTGTAAGGCGTGAATCCTAGTGAATGAATCGAGTGTGAAATGTGGCCGTTTGGCAATTTTGTGCATTTTCTTGAATTGAATTGAAATGCATGATGAAATTGATTGTGAATGGAAACCATGTATGAAATGGTGTGAATTGAATGATGAATATATATATGCATTGTGATATATATGTTGTGAATGCATAACGAATGTATACAATAAAATGTGATAAATGCATGAGTATGTTTGTAAACATGTATGCATTTTGTATTGATTGATCCCGCGTAGGATCTGCAGAAGCCTCGTGTGCCCATGTGGGGTGTGAGCAATGGTTTATAGTTGATTGAGTCATGTTTGCATGTGAAGCATCATGATATGCATTTGTGCTATTTGATCCCGTGTAGGATCTGCAGAACCTCGTGTGCCCATGTGGGGTGTGAGCGATGGTTATATTTGATTCCGCGTAGAATCTGCAGAACGATTGTGTGCCCATGTGGGGTGTGAGCAATCGGGTTGTGTGCCCATGTGGGGTGTGAGCAATCCATAAACATTGTGTGCCCATGTGGGGTGTGAGCAATGGGTGAACATCGTAGGCCCGACGGGGAGTTACTTCGGTAACGAGCGATGGTTCCATTTTGGTTCTTCAATTGAACCTGTTGAATTGAGTCGGTACCGCATTTGCATCTGCATAGAGTCGTGAGTCTGTCTCTATGAGTTGCATAATCATATTTATATGATGCATTGGTGAAAATAAACATGTATAGAGATGTTTATGTGAATTGGTGATGAAATAAACATATTGTGTATGTTTGTGTGTATTGATTAAAATTATGGATATGTGCATATTAAATATGTCGGGTGATTATCCATTATTTGTGTAAATGTACATTGCGGTGTATATGACGAGGGATAATGATTTGTGGTGAGGAACGAAGAATAGGTGTATTCTTTGTTTGTGCATATGTATATATATGATTTATGCATTGTTTATTATGATATTGTTTCTTACCCTTCTGCTGTTTTATGATGCTCTATGAGGCATTGCAGATTGGGTGCTGGTGATCCCTTTTTGTGAAGCGTGTCTTCATTTTGTTTTGGTCAGATGGCTCTGATATGTAACACCGGGTAGCATAGGAAGCCTTGGGCTATTTTGATGAATACATTTGTATATGTTTTATTGGTGCTGCATGTTTTGTAAACATGACTGTTGTTGATGCATTAGACGGGATGATGTGAATATGTATGTATGTGAATACATGTTGGTGGTGATTCAAATGTTTAGATTTTCCGCTTTTATTCTAAATATTTGAGACGTGGGTAAAAAGGACGAAGTTCCTAGATTGTGTGTTGCCCATTGTTGCATATCTATATGAGCAGGTGTTGTATGTATGTTTAATTTCAAGTATAATGTGGCATACTCTTTTTATACCGTGTTATGAATTACTCTGATGAAATTTTAAATAAGTGCCTAAATGATTAAATGTATTATTTGGGGGTTTAGAAAGGGGGTGTTACATTAAGTGGTATCAGAGCCAGTGTTGAGTCAGTTGTGTTCGTCTTATCGTTATTTAACGTTTAAGCTGTGGTTTAACCTTGTTGTTGTTTCTGGGTTGCTCAGAATATGGCTGGTCGTAATGATACTGCGATGGCTGCTGCCATGGAAGCGATGGCTAGAGCGG